GTAATTTGTGATTCACTGCATTTGTGGTTTTATTTGTATGTTAGTATGTCATTTTCTGGGGTTAGATCAAGGAGACCTTTATACAACATAAGAGGAGTGTGCCTCACATGTAGACAAGGTGTTCCATTTCTATTCAGAATGAATAACACTTGTGCTCTCAGCTGCATTGTGTTCACAATAAAGGTATTAATCTCTTCTGTGTTTTCTTTATCATAAAGCACTCCATGGTGGTCTCCTGGATAAATTTCAATTAACTGACTATAGCTCTGATTCATACTTTAGAAATACATTTGGCAATAAAAATTAAATTCATCCATATTTTTAACATAATGTGCTTCAGACTCAGTACTGAGGTTCCATAGCCTCCTTTGACAATTTGAGAGTTTTAAATAATATAAGGGATTTAAAAGATCTTTCTCCTGGGTTAATTTATTGGATTTGCCCATGACTCAGACTGATTTTAAATTTTTTAAGCATGTTAAAGCTAATATACTTTGTTATATCAATCTATATGATTTTTAATACATTTAAACCTTACAGATATCTATGTTGTAATCAGAAGCCACTAATTAATTACTATATGACATATTTTGTAAGATGTTTAATACATATTTCCATATAAAAAACCTTGGGTTTTTTTTTCCATTTATAATTGGAAGAAAAATAAATTTAGAGTGTATTCAAATAGCATTGCCGAAGAAGCTTTTGGAAGCAGCAGGAAAACACTCTACCTAACCCCAATTAGTCTTGTTTTCTACATTCAGGGCAGTTCTGTTTCTCAACATATCCACTAAACATGATGATAATGAAAATTAATATGGTTAGAAAGCAATTCAATAGCAAATGTTTATAGTTCATAATTGTTGTTTCCTGTCATAACTTTCGTAAAACATGTCAGCTCTGAAAAAAGGCTCAAGGAGCATGTAAGCTAGACACATGCACCTAAATTACACAGTAGCTATTCTCCTGCAAAGCAATGCAGAATTCATTTTTTAGCAAATTGAATTATACTTTTATTGCTCTTGGTGAGTTCACTACTTCTCAGGATAGGTAAGCTTGATTATGAATCCAAATATTTTAATTCATATGTGAACCCTTATATAAAGAAAATTTCTTGTGGATTTATCAACAATGTGAAAAGTTTAACCACAAGAAGAATGCTAGAACCCCATCTCTATAGAGTTTCCTCATTCCATTTTAACTATAAGAATGTCTTTCTGTCCCTGTTTTTCCAAAACTACCACAAATGAAAATTTTAGCTATATTTTTATTTGTCTAAGAATGTTTTTGCCTAAAATGTATGAAACTCATCATGCCATAGGGAGCTGCAAAGATAAATCAAACACAAATCTTGCCATAGGAGAATGAGCAGTACAGAAGGCAGATGGGGTGGGTTTTTTTAGACATCCCCCCCATCCCCCCACCCCTGCTCTCATTGGTTCTTACATCTCACAGTTGCTCCTTGGTGCCAACAAATGTCAGGAAAAATCGTCAAGGGAACAGGGCAGTTCTGTAGTTCCTGAAGGTTTTTGACCAAAGATCTTAGATAATTACAACTAATGTTGATGTCACAGCAATGATTTCACAATGAAGACATCTATCAGACACAGTAGGAAGGAAGGCCATTTAGAAAGGAGCCATTGCCAACAACTGAGTTGAAATGTAATAAGAACTTAAACAAGGGCAATGTCAGCAGAAGGAACACTGCAAGTTTTGATCTAAGAAAGAGGTGACAGGAAGCAGCAAATAGTTTGAGAAGAGATGGGTGGACAACCATGCTGAGTTTCTAGGCCTGGGAGAGTAGGTGCCAAGAGCAAAACAACAGAAGAGGAGCAACAGGAAAGACAGAGGTGGATTAGATGACCCAAAACAGAGCCTCGAAAACTAAGCATTATGGAGTGGTTGAAAGGGCCATCTGGAAACAAGCTGTCAGGCAGGTAGGAAGACAGTCAATGTGTAGTGGTGTCATAAGAGACAAGGAAGGAGAAAACTTTTATAAAAATAAGTCTTAAGTATTACAGAGGCAGGTGAGCACTACGGAAGGATTTGCAAACTGGGCCTAAAACTTTTGACAAAAAAGATCCAGTAAAATACAGAGCCAGGAAGGTAAATTTCAATGAGATAAAGATTGTGCATGGAAGGCCAAGGAGTGGTGAAATATATGATGTCACATAACTTATTTTTTATTACTTTATAGTTGATTTAAAATATTGTGTTAGTCTTAGGTGTACAACAGAGTGATTCAGTATTTTTGCAGATTATACTCCATTATATGTTAATACAAGATAATGGGTATAATTCCCTGTGCTATACAATATATCCTTGTTGCTTATCTATTTTATAAGTAGTAGTTTGTATCTGTTAATTCTATATACCTACCTTGTCCCTCCCCCTCTTCCCTTTTCCCTTAAATCAGTTTGCTAATAGATAAAGTATATAATTTTTATCTGACAATACAAAGTTATAGACAAAATCAGGATGTTAAAAATAAACTTTCACACACCAGATTATAATGTTGTAAACAAAATGAGGTACCATATCTAAAAGCAAGATTTGACTAGAAAATACTCTTCATATAAAAAGAAGCATCATTTGAAGAGGAGAAAGGATTTTAAAGACATGAAAACACGATTTTGAGAAAAAGGATTTTGTAGAAAGCTATCCTGTTGACCTCACCCTGCACCCTCTCCAACCCATCACATCTGACAGTGTTTAAGGATAGTTAAAACCCTATCATTCGGAAAGGAACATAACGGACCAACAGAGTCATGCATTCATATCTGAAAAAGCCAAAGCAGCCTGTGTGTGTGTGTGTGTGTGTGTGTGTCTGTCTGTTTGTCTGTCTGTGTCTGTGTGTGTGGAGAGAAAGATAGGGAAGAGATTGACCACTAACTATACCTCCATAGACAGCAGGGAAGGAAATGTCTACCATGGTCTAGATATGGACTCCTCAGGAAAGCCATTTGGCCTGGATTCACTTGATGTTCTGCCCCAGTGGTTTTCCTAGTCAGGTGCTCAAGACAACCTTAGCATTCTCCTCAGCTGTCCTGAACTTTAGAGAAGCTTCTTCCCGACTCTAGGCCCATGACCTCACATTTCTCAGAGCTTCTACTATGGAAAACTTTTCGTTGTAATTCTTTCTTTGCATCTTTTGAGATATAAATCTTTTTAAAATCTTCTTGCCAGTTTGACAACCAAAGATGCCTTTCTTCGGGACCCAGAACCATCTCTTTGAAATGCAATCATCAATAAAGATAGTGGCCCTCTCTGTGGGCAGATAGGAGCCTTGTTCTAAGCTGTAAACTGTCTTCTGTGATGAAGACATGAGAGAGTTTATGCTTTTAGGGGGTAGGGCCAAATAGCGACACAGGTAGCCCATGGGCCCCTCACCTCAGCTTAAAAAATCTGTCACCTTTTGTTTCAGAGGAGTTGAGCAAAAGCTGAGTTCTGGCCTCTCTCCCCTATTTCAATAGCCTTGAATAAAGTCTTCCTTACCTCTTTCACTTTGTCCAGTGCAACTGTTGCTTCAACACAGGCAAGTAGTTGTTGGCAGCAAGAGTCTGTATATAATGTGAAAAACCAGAGGGGACCAAGTTAGAAATGAAGAGACAAAATCCTAGGAATTGTATCTGGCAAAGTGTGTCAAAAGATTACACAAATGCTCATGAGTCATAGGGTTAAAATACAGGACGTTCAGTTAAATTAGAATTTCAAATGAACAACATATAATTTTGTAGTATAAGCTTAACTCATGCAATGTTTGAGACATACACTAAAATATTATGTGTTGTTTATCTGAAATTGAAATTTAACTGAGCTCCCTATATTTTATCTGACATTCCTACTGTGAGAAAAACAGTTTCAAACATCTGTTCTTTCTAGAGAGCAGAGGACTGCTTACGACAGTATTGGTGGCCAGCTGTAATAGCTACACTTTACTATGAACTTCTCTCTCCTTTCTGCCCACTTTGCCCTCTCTGCAAAGCTCAAAGTATCTGAAACAGCAGCTAGCTTGAGAGGAGGCTCTAAGAACATAAAAAGAAGAGAAACCAACTTCTTCCTGCCCGGAAAACAGGCAGCGGGTGACAGGTGCCCTGCAGGCCTTAGCTGGTTGGAGGGGGCTGGGGAAGTCATATCTCTAAAGGAAGATTTAAATGTTGATAAATTTCTTAGCCTGGATTAGCTTCTGTATAATTGTATAACTTAGAAAGAATGTAGGACTCATAGGGACTGCCAAGTTTTCACCCAGAGGCAGAGAAAATTTCCCCCATTGTGAGAGAGACAAAAATAAAGTTCTAGCCTCCCATATATTATATTACACTTGTTCAATGTATCAAGTCTATAGATCTAAATATATATATGACAATAAAATACTTTCCAAATTTTATGTGCCTCCAGATTTTATGAGATTAATTCATTTAAAGAATAATTTTAAAAGGATAACTGTAAAAATTATTAATCACATTGCATATTATAGTAATACTACTTATAAAATATTTAAGTATTATTGACAAGCACTAAATATTAATGAATATTAATAAAATACCTCTATGAGACAAATTTCTAATCTTTTTTTGTCACAGACTTTTTTTAAACTTTTTTATTGAGGTATGGTTACATCAAATAAAATTCATGAATTTTAAGAGTGTAATTTGATGTACTGCCATTTGTATCACAGGATATTTTAAGAGTCTAATGAAAACTATTATTTCACATATGCAGGGAGACATTTTTAATACAATATCAGGGCATTTTTTTTCATCCATCTAAAATTTTTGCTTAAAGTTTTTTCCTATGAACTGGTAGTTAATTACTCGAGACAATGACTTTACAAATTTATTATACTTATATATCTAAATTTCTTGAAGTTTGGCCAAATATCTATAAATACCAGTGTTATCATTTTATATGAATGATAACTATAAATGTTATGTTCTCATCTACTTGATTAGCAATAGAATGCTATCAGAACATATATTAATATGACTTTTTTTTTTTAGATGCAGGTTTATTTTTTCCATCTTTCAATGGGAATTCCTACTTAGAACTGCCTTTTTGTACAACCCTGAGGAAGGAACGTAACAGAATTGTTAACATCTACTTGACTATACAAACAAGCACTTTGAATGGAACAATTCTCTACAGTGAGTATTAAATGTTTGACCTTCTATATGTCATGCTTCTTTCTCAAATATTAACCTACTGAATTAATGAATTATTCATTTAAATGTTTTGGGGAAACTTTTCTAGCCCAGCGAATGAAGTATTACCAAAAAGAAATCTTGTTTCTTTCTAGTTTTCTTTAGCAGTTTCTTTAATTTAGGAGTCACTTAATGAAACATGACTTACAAACAGGCTCTGAACCAGCAAAGAAGAATACAGCAAGCATATAAATTTGACAGCATATGGCTAGAGCAGTGAAACGGTAATGCTACAAATGTTTCAAATAGCATATTTTTTATAATATAAATAACTAACATGAATTGCATTCAATACTTGGTAACTTGGAAAAAGGTATTTCAAAGCTGGTATTCATTTGACAGTTGGGAAAATTCTTATCACTCTTTAAGCATTATCTTAAATTTAGCTGGCAAAAAAAAAGAAGTAGTATAAACAATATTTGTTTAAGGAAATACCTCCATGTACAGGGTTCTCTACATTTTGGTCTCTTTCACTCATGGGCAAATACCACTAAAGTGTATTGCCTGCAATATTACAAATGTTACAATTGTTTTTTTCTCTTTTGAAATGAATATACCATAGTTTTAACAGTTCCCTATATTGGAGATACAATGTCTTCAGTACTTGGATAGATGATCCACTGTAAGGCAACTCATTATTTCCCAAATGAGTTTCTCTTCCACTTTGAAATATTTTGCAAAATCGATTCATCTTACTGTACTTTCTAAACAAAACTTAAATTTTTTTTATTACTTGAATATGAGAAAAATGCCTAAAAGAAGAATTTTTGGAAAACTGGGTATAGTTAAAAGCTTTGAACATTAAATTAAAACTGGGAATTTATGTTACATTTTAGAAAGAAACTAACTTGTCAGAACTAGGTCAGCATTATTTATTTCCTAGGAGTGTAAGTGCCCCTGTTTAAATGATAGCTTTAAATTATTTCATTTATTTATGTTTAAAATAAGAGAAGAAAATAATAAAAGAAAAACTGATTTTTTATATGGGAAACCTAAGTGGTGATAGGTGACCATGAAATTTGGAGGTAATAGTGCATTTCAGGGGGAACAAAACAAAACATAAAACAAAAGATATAAACATAATACTTTAAAGCCACAAAGAAAGCAAAGTCGTTTTCTGGCTTTGCAGTGTTTTAAGTTACCTAGATACAGAAGGTGTTTCCTTGTGAAAAGTGTGTTTTTAGCAACTGAAAACAGCTCAGAGCCAAAGAAGCAGCCAACCTCTGTGAACTCTCCTACCCTGGGCCTGCGCTGCAGGCCCACATCCAAACTGCCACTCAACTTTCTCTTTCTGAAGGCCATAGACATACATGCCACGTGTGTCCACTCTGTTCAAGCTGGTGCTCTAAAACAGTCAAACCTAAGCTGATGTTAGTGCCATACAATTAATTTTGCCTTTTGTAGCCAATGACCTACCAAAAAAGTCAAACTAGAAATTATTAATGAGAAAAGAGTGCCCTTGGAATAATGAGCAGCCTGTGTCTTTGTCTTACAAAATTGTTGCTATCACAGCACTGGATGTGTGGAAACTGTTTACTCAAGGGAGTTTCATAGCCTGTGAAGGGAGAAAATATTTTTGTCTGTAGCACATTCTTTTTGTTCATGTGTAAGTGGTAATTTAATCCCACACTCTTGGGAAGACCTCAGCAGAATGGTTTATGGGTTTGCTGTCTTCACTCCTCTTGGAATCTGTCAACCTCATAAAAGCCTCACAACAGATGAACACAAAGATTTTTGTGGTTCATTTAGACACCTGCAATTTTAAAGGTGTCCCTTAATTTGACTTCAGGACTAATTTTCTTTCTTTTGAAATCAGTATATTATGTGTAGGAGCAATTAAAAGTCGTGAGGAAATTAAAACAGATGTTAGAGTGTAAGGTTTTTTTGGGTTTTTTGGGGGGGTAGAGGGGTTGTTTTTTACCTTTGCTATTTTTACCTATTCCTGAACATTTTAGCAAAAACTGAATTTCATTTCACAAACATTTATTGAACATTTTTGCTTTGTATCATCACCTATTAAAGCGAAAACGATAGAGAGAAATATTAGATTGATAAGCCAATGACAGTTTTGAATTATATTCCTAGTTCAAAACTGTAGCTTTATCTTTTCTCAGTTTGCCTCAGCAACTAATTGATGTTGAAAAGGGAACAAAAGGGAGATAAAGTTTGAATCCTTATGGGGTTACAGTAAAATTCCTTAGAAAGGATAGTTTTTAAAAGAACTCTCTGTGGGAGAGAGACAGCTCTGAGAACAGCAGTCAAGATGAAAAGAAAGCTTTTTGAATCTGCCACTGAACCAATTCAGAATTCTGGAACACAGTCAAAGGAGCTGCTAATAGGTCACGGGAGAAGGGGTGAGACCACACAAAACTCTTTAGGTGCACTCTCAGAAAATGAGCTCTGTTCAGCAAGCAGCATCAGTCAGGTTTTGTCATGGGATTTATTACTATGCAGGTGAATCCATTCTGTGCTATTTCTGTGAGAAGAAATAAGCAGGCCCTTTGGAAGGATGTGATCTGAGAATTAGGAGAAGACATTTGACCGAGATGCAGGAGGCAAATTACATGAGCAGCTCCAGTGGAAGAAAAGAATTCAGAAATAATCTTTATATTACTTAGGGTTTATATTTAAGAAAGAGAGCAAAAGGACTGGTCTTAGAAATTTATTCCAGGTAGGAATTGATAGAACAGATAAGATTATTGAAACCTCCTTTCTGGTGCATTTAGGAAGGACTGGTAGAAGAGATATCTGATATTGCTGAAGAAAAAAATTAAATCTGAAGAATCATAACCTCTGTCTTTCTCTATAAAATGACTTCCCCAGCAAAATACACAATATCTTCATTAGACACCTTCTATGCCAAGACCAGTGAGACACCACAGCATTGCCTGACGTCTTATTAAGAAGCATCTTTTCTCATACAAAAAGTTTGCTTCATTTTTTAAATCAATTTTACAACGTGTAGCATAAAGTTCTCTGAATGCCTTTACCCCTTGATACTAGCTTCCAGTGGAGCTTGCTCCAGACAGAGAAGGGACAGAGTGGGATTGAGAGCAGGGTTGCAGGAAATCATGCATGGCCATTCATAAGGCATCTAGAAATCACTTTATTGTATCATCGTTATGCGGCAGCAAAGTCAAACTCAACAAATAGTAACTGAGTGCCACAAAGTGCACTGCACGCTGTCAGGCCCTGGGAGGGGTACAAATATGAATAGGATGTGGTCTGTGTCTTGCTTCTCACCATTCAATGGTGAGATCCTATGAGCCTAACTCCATGAGAAAGCTGACTGTGACAGTTTTCCAACAGGAGTACACAGTAAGGACTGGGGCTGAGTGGAGACTCATAATACCAGGAATCTGGGCTTATATCTCTTCTCTAACTAGGGAACACCTCATCGTCTGAGTTGGGTTTTACATCTATTCCACCCACACCCTCAGTACTTCAACCAGGGCCTTGCATAGATCAGCACTTGATTAGAATAGTTCTTAAATTTCTGTTTGTGAGTTACTCAGCTTTGGTGGTTACAATAAAAAATTAGTAGTTATTGAAACTTTATTTTAGGGAACTATTCTGTTAAACATGGCTATACTTTCTTCCAACAAAAGGGTATAGATTTTTCAGGATTTAGTCAAAACATAGTTTGAATCTGGGGCTTCCCTGGTGGTGCAGTGGTTGAGAGTCCGCCTGCCGATGCAGGGGACACGGGTTCGTACCCCAGTACGGGAAGATCCCACATGCCGCGGAGTGGCTGGGCCCATGAGCCATGGCCGCTGAGCCTGCGCGTCCGGAGCCTGTGCTCCGCAACGGGAGAGGCCACAAGAGTGAGAGGCCCGCATACCGCAAAAATAATAAAACAAAACAAAAAAAACACAGTTTGAATCAAATGTAACTTTTTCCTGGGTCTGCTTAAACAATTAAGAACAGAATGGGGGTTGGCAAATTTTTCCATAACAACCAGAAAGTAATTTTTTCTGCAGACCAGACGGTGTCTGTCATAACTGCTCAACTCTGCCAGTGTAGCATGAAAGCAGCCATAGAAAAAGTAAATAAATGAATGTGGCTGTGCTCCGAAAACACTTTACTTACAAAACCAGTCGATGGCAGAATTGACCCATGGGGCAGAGTTTGCCACCCCTTGACCTAGAGCGATGTGATTCATTAAACTTCTCTTGAAATAGACGATTGTGTTTAAAACAACTAGATTCTATTTCTATGACTGAAATTTATGAAGAAAAAGATCAGTGAGCAATTCAACTCTGCTTCTGATGTAATTAATAAGGGAATGGAACAAGGTTACTCCTGGTCGACAGAGGAAGGGGCAGAAACAAAGAAATGAGCCTAGTCAAGACTGAACTTGCTGCCGTGCCCACCTCAAGAATGGTGTCAACCAGTGATTAGGAAAATTACTCTGGAGCTACTCTACCTGGCTCTGCCCTTTGGCATATTACCGAACATCTCTGTAAAATGGAATAATATTAATAATAACAATACCAAAGATGTTAAAAAGTTGTTTTAAGATTGAGAGAGTTACCACGTTTAACGTGCTTAAAACAGTGTTTGGCATATGGCAATGTGCAGTAAGTGCTCAAACATCTTGTTCAGATATGCTTTAATCCCTCCTCCCTCGTGCCTGCCAGACAAGGACTCTAGGAATGGGAGGCCCAGGATATTTTTATCAAATGGGTGTCATTCATGTTGCATCCGTTTGATAGACATCTCCACTGTGGAAAAGAAAAATTCGACCATGAAAAAGTCTAGAATCAGGACTGCAACAGCAGTGGGATGAAATTGGTGCAGTTTTTAGTTTTCATTCTTGTCCATTTCATCTAAATAAAGAGGATTCATTCCTCTCAGACTCTGGAATTATGACTTTGTTTTACTGGTTAAGCAGAGTTAGCAGGCTAGGAAAAATTAAAATAGGCTTTCTGTAAATTTCAGAA